AATCTATCTAACAAGAAACCTGAGCAAAGAAGACTTTACTGTTCAGTAAAGAAAAAGGAAGTTGAAAAAGTAAAACAACCGCCGATATCGATGAAAAAAAGAGCCTAAAAAAAATGATAGTCCATTGTACAATTCCCTGTACATCGCCACAATGTCCGCAGAAAAAGTCCGAACTGGAAGCCCCAGGTACACATATGTATCTATATTGACAAGAGGGAGTCAAGCAGCCCAATCCAATGTTTGTGGAATCACTAAACCCTGGCCGGCAGAGTTGCAGACTCAGGGCCAGATCTCACTAGCCCCTTTTGTTCATTTCTGATCGTTGATCTTCGTAATCGAGGGTGAGATTTGAGTAATCCAGGGTATTGGGATCGGACCCTCATTGGCCTTCAGAGAACAGCAGGCAGCTCTTCCTACCCTCGTCACCCGAATAAAACGCCATTATCGCTGCATCTGGTCCGAAAGTTGCCCCAACGAAAGCTATAATGACCGGCGGGCGTTCTATTCGGGTGAAGTCGGTAGCCCAATCTCTCTGCCTCCAGTCGAAGTAGACGATCTGGTGCACGCCCTTTTTAAATTTTAATCCTGTAGAGTACTTGCTGTGGCGAGGGCAACTCATTGGACAGCGCCGCATCATTCCTTCGTCTCCCATATACGCCAAAGCACCGTTACTCTGCGAGAATCGTAGACATAAGCCCGCCAGGCCTTTGATAGCTTCAACACTGCCGTGCCTACCGGTACTCCGATGGAAGCAGTTGACCATATGTCCTCCCCATTGCTGAGGCACAGCGGGAATTCGCCCTCACGTGCGTGTACCCAGACGTCATCTCGGGCATTTTTACATGAAATCCATATATGATGTTGGCCTTCCACAAGGCCGGGCACTGAGCGTGCTTTGCAGAGAGAGGCCTGCCCTGTTTTCGACGGCGGCACAGAAGGGCCAGCAGCAGGGATGACATTGTGCAGGATTTACTCGCTGATGCGATCAACTATAGCCAAATAGCCATCCATCGCTGGCATCTGCAATAGGCCAAAGCCAAGTAGCCATCCATTGCTGGCATCTGCAATAGGCGAAAACCAAATAGCCATCCATCGCTCGCAAAGAAAGGTAGTAACCTAGCAAGTGTGAAAACACACTCTTAATCGGTGGCCGGGGTCGGTCCGTACAGTGGATCCGAGCGCACGCCACGCCATTTTCCGAACAACGCCTCCAGTCAACACATCCACATGCGGCAAACATTCCGTCACGGTTCGGTGGATCTACCCAATACCAGTCTCTGGGATCAAGCGTCGGATCCTTGAAAGCGTCAGGTCCGAATCCCTGTAGGGGAGGATAGGATCGATAACATTGAGCCCTTGTTTCTATTCCAACACTCAGACTGCAGTCATGTGTGTAAAAGGGGAGAGGTAATTGAAGCCGAGGACGAGGAGGATCTTCTACGGGGCAGTTCCCAGTCCTGTTTGTCCATCCTTCACCGTCCAAACCAGTCATTCTTCGACTCATTTCCCATGCTTCAACAGTCAGCTGCGTTGCGTTTCCAGGCGCCGCCCAGTAGCAGGTGGAGGACTCTTCCGTGTAGTCTCGGCGAAACCAGGAACCGGGCAAATAATGCCTCTGGCTTATGATCTTCTGTTTCTACTCCGTCTGCTCGAGTACAACTGCGGGTGCTGCCTCCAGCACGCAGTTTCCGAGTTTGAGCGCCCACTTTGTTCGCTGGCCTTGAGTGTACGACGACGGATTATGCAAATCGTCGCGTCGCCATGGTCCGCGTCGAGTCCATGCAAAGTGTGTTGGATGTGACCATCGTCTTTCCATCTCTGTTGTTAGTCTCACATCCCGCAGGTGGGCCAGGTGAAACCGGTAGGGGTCATACACCATTTTGTGCTTCATGATGCCTTTTCCAAAAAGATAAACGTCGCGTTGGGGGACATGGTCGCCGGCTTCTCTCTTCTGTGCCGCGTCCTCTCCCCTTTCTTCCTTCCTTTCTTCCTACCTTCCTTCCTTCCTTCCTTCCTCTCGCTTTCTCTTCTTTTCTCTTCTTCACCCTTGTCTCGTCCTCGGTCAATTATGCGATTGGAATCGGTTGAAAGTTCTCGAAACCGTCAACACCGTCAGAAGCTTTGTCACTCGACTTGCAAGGTGGCCACCGCGCGCGCGGGGACATGCAACTGTGTCCAAAAGCGCCAGTACCAGTCACAGGAAAAAGGCTGTCCATCATTGTCTTGTCGCCAGCACCCGTCGCAGGAAAAGGCTGTCCATCATTGTCTAATATACAAGGGTTATTGAAGACGGGGTGCAACAACCGGCAATCATACCGCAGCACAGGAGCCATTATCTGAGGGAGGATCTGTCCCCATGCTGCCAGTATGTCCTTCCATATAGGGGACCATGCCCTTTTCTTCTTGCAGCAATCTTCCATGAACAGTCCCACTCTCTCACTTACGTTTGTTCTATGGAACCTGAAGTTTTCTCCATAGTTTTCTCTGTACATATCCTTAGGGACAAAAAAAAGCATACCCTTGAACCTTTTTTTTTTTTTTTTTTTTTTTTTTCCTGAACCAGACTACTCGGCCGCTAGGACAGACTGTCAATTGGCTAGTTCGAGCAGGAGAGGCGTCGGTTCCGCGGAGTGAAAAGCGACAGGCTGCAGACTGAAGGCTTACCTGCCCGCCAGCCGGAAGGACTGCAGGTCTGTTTGGCAGTTGGGGCTGACGGATAAGCCGTTTGTCTATGGGGTCACTGCCTTAGGCCTCCGGTTGGTATGACCATGCGAAGCTGAGCAAGCAGACGTTTGCTTACTGTCATAAGATTGTGGCATCCCGAGCGCTGTTGTGCCTGATGCATACACGCACTGGTGTGCGGACAGGGAACCAAATGGGGAGAGAGAGGGCTGCCAAGGTAATGTGAGACGAGGGGAGCGGTACTTGTCATTGGCAACTGGCAGTACAGCAACGATCGGGAGCAGGGTTGCTGTTGTTAGTTGGTAAGGTTGTTGTTGTAGTACGACTGCTGCTGCTACTGGGGCCGTTGTGCCACCTGCAGCTGTCGCCAAGTTGGGCAACGGTGAAGGAGATTATTGCTGCGAGCGCACCCCCTCTCCCACTATCCTACCTCAGTGTGACCAGCACTCAGGACCATTACCCTACCAATGGGCAGGCAACTTGGACCGAACAGCAGTGATAGGCACTCTTCATGTCTAGCATTGCAGGCGGTGTGTTAAAAAAAAAAAAAACTAGGCTCATCAAAGGATCATACATAATAAAGGTTTCGTTGTACCCAAAAAAAAAGTGTAAAAAACAATGTGAACAATCCCCCATTTGGGACTGATCAGATTCAACCCTAACAGATCTTGAGTCTTTAGCGAGGGTTGGGGAAGGCATGGAAGTGGGGAGGAAAGGGAGTGGATTGAGCTTTTCTTTTATTTACGGCAGACGATCTGTTAGGATTGGATTGAAGAACCTCAGATGTGTTCGGGTTGATGATCCCGATCAGTCGCGAGATGATTGAAGAAAGCAGGACAGCCTTAACAGATCTGTTAGGGTTTATCCTTGTGTGATGGAGTTGCTGCCCCCCTTTGGCAGCAACTCCATCACACAAGGATAAACCCTAACAGATCTTCAAGGCCGTCCTGCTTTCTTCAATCATCTCGCGACTGATCAGGATCATCAACCCGAACACATCTGAGGTTCTTCAATCCAATCCTAACAGATCTTCTGCCGTCAATAAAAGAGCAGCTCAATCCACTCCCTTTCCTCCCCACTTCCATCCCTTTCTCAATCCTCGCTCAAGACTCCTCCCTCACAGCAACACACTTCCGGGAACAGAAGTTCTTGATGATGTCAACCAATTGGTTTGCTCTCAATGGCTTTGTCAAAAATGCGTCCATCCCCGCCTCGATGCATTTTGCTTCATCGGTTATGTCATTCGCGGTGAGTGCAACGATTAGCAAATGACTTCCGTCATCTTTCTCTCGCTCCATGCTGCGGATAGCACTAGTCGCCGAATAGCCATCCATCACTGGCATCTGCAACCACCATCATGATGGCAGAAAAAAGTCAGACAACCTCATCATTCGCATGATTTGCATAGGCCATATACACATATAGCCAAATAGCTTAGCTATCCATTTCTCGCTTATGCAATCGACTATAGCCAAATAGCCATCCATCGCTGGCATCTGCAATAGGCCAAAGCCAAGCAGCCATCCATTGCTGGCATCTGCAATAGGCGAAAACCAAATGGCCATCCATCGCTGGCATCTGCAATAGGCTAAAGCCAAATAGCCATCCATCGCTGGCATCTGCACTAGGCCATAGCCAAATAGCCATCCACCAATGCCATCTGCACCAAGCACAACAGAAGGGAAAGACAACTGCTAAGGAACACTATCATTTTGGGCATGACTTACATAGGCCCTACCCTCTTCCCCCGAACGTACCGCATATGCGTTGTAAATGAATACAGCGCATCGGCTGCTTTTTTCTATTCGAATAGAACACATACACGTTCTATTCGAACAGACAGGCCTTAAATTCGAATACGACGAATATGCGTTCTACTCAAATCATCAATTTTTTTTAACACTTGAACACAACGCATACATACTATGTTCGGGGGAAGATGGTGGTCACGCCAATACTATGGTCACAATTCCAGTCACATACATTTCAACAAGTCCTAGTGTGGATTGTGTTCATTTGCTTCAGCGTACCTGTCTTGCCCAGCAGCTTGCCATGTTGTCCTTTTTTTTTTTTTTTCCCTTTTTGTTTTCACTTCGATTGGTATTAGTAGGGTCTTTGGCCAACACAGGTGCGAGCGTGAGTGTGGTTGTGTGTGGTGTGTGGGAGAGTGTTGGCCTTAGACACTGCTGCTGCTCGATGGGGCGTGGGGGGCGATGAAAAGGGAGTCGCAGCTACTGGAAAAATGCTCGGTCTATGCATTAGTATCAGGCGCCCGTTTCAGGGTGAAGAGGTTTACTCCCCCTCCAAATAGCCTGCTCAGTCAATCCCCCGGACCCCGGGGTAATCAATGCTGGCAGGACTCCTCTGGATTCTCATACTCTGAATTCCTCTGATTGTAATTTGTACAGGGGACGCTGGACCCGCTTTCCAGCAGGTGATGCTCCCCACCAATAGCTGGAGCTGCTCCCCAGGTGCTAGCGGTGTCTGCTCTTACCAGCACCACTACCACTGGCAGGGGKGGTTGTTCCAAAAAAAAAAAAAAAAAAAAAAAAAAAAAGCTGGAGCCCAACTGGTGGCCCCAACCCTGCACCCTTGACCACTAGGGCAAGGGGCAACATGCAATATCCCCTTCACCGTGCGAGGTAGCTATGCTTGCAAGGGTCCGTTATATGTAGTCCTAGGAGTATGTAGGTAGTGAATGGTGGAAGAATTTGAGAGAAGAAGAACATGGTGTAGTTAAAAATTATTAAGACAAGAAAAGAAAATCTTCTCTGTACTGTTCCAATCTTACACCACTAGTACCTCCGCCAGTGAAATTCAGGGTCGGCGAAAACAGGCTCGGAGGCACTAGTGGTTTAAGGAATGTCCCGAAGAACACCAACTTGCCCTGTTGCTTGTAAGAAGGGAGTCCGACCAAAAAATGGGGTGAACATGTGTATGGGGAGGAAGGAAAGACATTGCAGAGGGAATTGGTTGTGGGTATACCTGGCAGTCCATCATCACACAATCAAATTGTTTCTTCGAAGAACCGTCAGCTCCCTCGCAAACTGCATCCACTGCCTTTTTCCCATCTTCCACGCCGACAACTTCTGCCCCGAGTCTTTGGAGCGAAGTTACTTCAAGCTTTCGGAGAAGTGGTGTGTCCTCCGCAACCAGGATCTTCATTCCAGTGAGCGGCCTCGTTGACTGAGGACGACCTTGGGTAGCGACGGTTGTGGACTTCGTTGCTCGTGGACTGCAGCAGCGAGATGAAACACAGTCTTCCACAATGTCCGGAATGATTTCGCAGGCGGTCGACGCAGCTATTCCCAGCTTGCCGTTCATATCGCTTCCGAGCCGGCCGGGTGGAGTTTGCTCTCGTTGTGGGGAAGACGAGCAGGGGTCTTCAGGATGCTGTGGCGGCTTTGGCGTGCCGCTGATCGTGTCAGCCGTTGCCTGCCATACCTGATGTTCAGCTGAAGTCGGCAAGCGAGCCGTAGCCGAGTTACTCATGGGCTCTCTCCTACATTCTTCTATCTGTTCTGTCTTGAACTGAGAGGTCCTTTCTTCTATCTCTTCTGCCGCGAACTGAGTGATCGTCGGTGCTTCCTCCCCTTCTGTGGACGATGAACTTGTACACTGATTCTCCTTGACATGGAACCCCTTGTCTGCACTATCTGCACTTGTCCCCGGGTGCAGGGCGTCTTCCTTGGTCGAGCTGGAGGAGGTTTGGCCTGGTTGATGATGATCAACAACCACCCTGACATGGAATGCGAACAAAGATCCAGTGCCGGGCTTTTCCTTCAGAGCAATAGAACCTCCCATTTTGTGAGCCTTTGGCCCCCGCAGCACAGTGATATCACACAACATAAACACAGGTTAACACCGCCTTCCCATTTTCAACCAAAACAAACACGATTCCAACCCAGGCTAGAACTGGCTTCCCTTTTTTGACCAATAACGGACCCACACCCAACCAGGTTATAACTGGCTTCCCCTTTCTGTCCAATAACAAACCCCACTTAACGGAGGCAATACGATTGATCAATGATAATTGCTCTAACCAGGTTAAAACTGGCCTCTCCTTTTTTACCAACAACATATCCCTCCTGGAAGCCTTTCTCCCAACCTCAAAACACACAAAACAACATACCAAACTGCAATGTACTGACTCCAATTTAATGGCAAACTCTGACATGCATCACCACCCAAAGTTCACAGAAACCTCACACCACACAAGAGAGAGGGCAATTAGCCCAAACAGAATTGATTGCCTCCCAAAGCATCTGGATTACAAAAGGCCCGAGTATATATTTCAAGCTGTTATGGCCGCTATCGCGGTCACACCACACAGGTTACTTTACTCAGGTCTCTCTCTCTCTCTCTCTCTCTCTCTCTCTCTCTCTCTCTCTCTCTCTCTCTCTCTCTCTCTCTCTCTCTCTCT